GTATACCTGAGTCGTCTCTTCATTTGTTACTTTTGCAAGAGGCTCACGGCGGAGGACGCATGGGACATTTCGGGCGCGAAAAGACATTTCCCACACTCTCCTTCAAGTATTATTGGCCCAAGATGTTTTGCACGTCACACGCTTCACCAACCGGCGCTCTACATGCCGCAAGGCTAAGTCCCACACTCAATCTCATGGTTTACATATGCCACTTCCTATTCCATATCAACCATGGGAAGATATTAGCATGGATTTTGTGCTTGGACTACCTAGGACTCAAAATGGCAAGGATTCGGTATTTGTTGTTGTGGATTGATTCTCTAAAATGGCACATTTCATCCCATGCAATAAGATAGACAATGCTTCACATGTTGCAAATCTCTTTTGTAGGGAAATTTTGAGGTTACATGGAGTGCCAAGGACAATTGTGTCGGACCGCGACGTCAAGTTCCTAAGCTACTTTTGGAAGACACTATGCGCCAAGCTCGGCATCAAGCTACTATTCTCGACGGCCTATCATCCTCAAACCGATGGTCAAGCGGAAGTTACCAACCAGACACTATCTACTCTCCTCTGTGTGTTGATCAAGAAGAAAATCAAGGAGTGGGAGGAGTGTTTACCCATCGCTAAGTATGCCTACAATTGCACAAGACACTATACTACCGGCAAGTCCCCCTTCGAGGTCGTCTATGGCTTCAACTCGTTATCTCCCTTGGACATCCTCCCTCTACCGCTCCAAGAAGGAGCGAACATGGACACAAGTACAAGAGCAAGTTATCTCAAGAAGGTGCATGAAGATACAAGGTCCACGATCGAGCGTCAAGTACACCGCCTCGCCACCAAGCTCAACATCAACAAGACCCCCATGGTGTTCAAACCGGGCGATCTAGCATGGCTACACCTCTGCAAGGACCGCTTCCCCAACGAGCGCAAGTCCAAGCTACTACCACGAGCTGATGGACCTTTCAAAGTACCTGTCCGTTACAATGACAACGCTTACAAGATTGACATCCCACGCGACAAGTACAACGTAAGCGACATCTTCAACATCAAGGACTTGGCCCCATACCATGGTGATGAAGATCACAATCTGCGGACGGATCGTTCCCAAGGGGGGGATGATGCGGAGCATCATTCCATCATCCCTATGGACTCTACTACAACTCATCAAGCACCACGTGGACCTATGACAAGAGCTCGAGAACAATCCATTGAAACCAATGTGAACTCACTCCTACTTGAGATAGATGTGGATATGAATGGAACTTGGATGCTACCTCACCAAAACATACTATGTGTCATTAGGTACGAGGACGAACACCACCTAGCATCCAAGGAGCATCCCATGGGCATAGGAGAAGGACCCCAAGGCCTCAAGGAAGAAGGAGGAGTCCATCAAGATGAAGGCAGCAGGTCCCAAGCGACCCCGTGCGCACGGGCCTCCCCGACCCCATGCCCACAGGCTACCCAGAGACCTTCTGTAACCGAGACGTGCACTCCCATGCGCATGGCATCCGAACCCCGTGCGCACGGGCCCTGGCCGCTGTAGCACCCCGTGCGCACGAGCGTGTACCATGCACGCGGGACCCCCGTACGCACGGGCCTCCCTGGTTTTTGCTGTGGATGCCCTGCCTTGCCTCCCAAGTCGTCCCCTACCTCCATTTGGCTATATATTTTGGGTCTAGGACATTTGTTAGGGTTAGCAAAGTATATGTGAGACATTGATAGAGCTTTGCTCCTTCTACCACTCCTCTTGGAGATCAAGATCTCTTAGGAGAGGATCCCAAGTGGATATGAAGACCACCTTTTGGAGAAGACTATCATCAAGACCTCACCTCTTAGGAGTGGGAAGAACCTTACCTTTGTGCTTGTTTCCTTGGATTGTTCTTATATTCTTGTGGATCACAACTATGCTATTCTAGTGGATGTGTGATTGGGTTTTGTTTGAGTGAATTTCCTCTTTGTATTCTTGTTTTCATCCCTTTCCCCCTCCAAGTGTGAAAAGATCTTCACTTAGGGTTCCACCCTACAACACCTTGCGTTCTCTCGGTGACAGCTTAGTCGTTGGGTACCACGGGTAGGAGTGCTAGCATGGCGAGGGAGACTGTGGGCCGTCTGAATTTGCAATGCCTGGTACCGACAGATCACCAGGAAAGAAGAGAGGAACGTACCAAATATGGTCCAATGAACGTATGTGGCATCATGATGGACGTGTTTGGTTCCCTGCATTAGGCCCAATTAGGCCCGCGCAGGAAGAAAAACTATTGTTTGGTTACTCGGGCTACATCTACATCTCGGGTTGCACGGAACTTAAAGTAGTCCCTGGCCAGGCCCGCGAGCGACGGCCGAATCAGCAGTTTGCCGGCAGCCAGGCTCGCCGCGGCCACGTGTGGCTCTTGGTTGCACGCCTTGGGGAGTGCGGGAGACGAACGGGACGCTCAATAACTCCCATCTCTTGTGTCACCGCCCACACCTCCATTCACACCACTCCTCCCACTCTCCTCACCGCTCCTTGCTCTCCTCTCCTCTGATGGCTCGCCCGCTGTCGCACCGTCCCCTGACGCCCATCGACACCGGCAGCAACCCCGTCCACGAGCAATGGATTCCCGACCTCGTGAACTCGGGCGTCAACCTGAGGGTGACCCTCCGCGCATCGCCGATCTGCACCAGGCCCCCTCATCTGGCCAATGTGGTGCAGGCCGTCGTATCCGGACCTCATGGTCCTGGGTTCGATGGCGCCGCCAGAGGGGCGGCCACCGCGTCCCTACTCAGAACCCCTTGTGGGTGGCGGGAGGGGGGTTACCCCCATTCGAGGGCTTTTTCTGGGTAGCACAACAGGGCCATGGACGATGGGGCCTGCTTCCTCGACCTCCCGCGTGGCCATGAAAACCGAGGCAATGCCGACGGCAGTCGCCATTGCCGGCTCCTCCTTCTCTTCGCCCGCCATCTCCTTCCCGCTGACGTTTTCTCCCCGGCCGGCGTACGCTCGAACCCCACCCGCTTTGGTAATTTACAAATTTCCCTTTGCTCGTACATGTAGATTAGGGTTTTCTGCATGCATGACAAGGAATTGATTAGATTCGACGCGATTTGATTGGATTCGATTCCAATCGAATCGATTTGAACCCAATCGATTCCTTCTTGCCTGCTATTGTTCATGTTGTTCATGCTTCGTGTTCATGCTGTTCATAGGTAGGGTAGATTGGATCTTGCATGATAGGTAGTTACATTGTAGTCAGCAGATCGTGGTAGATTAGAGCCGGCGTAGGCAGGGCATATGCTTCGTGTTCATGATGTTCATAGGTAGGGTTTGTGTTTGATGTTGAACCTAGATTGGTGCTGGCATATGCAGGTTATGTTGCATGATTTCATTATATGCATGGTGTTCATAGTAGGTAGGACAAATTTGCATGCTCATACACGTTGTAGGGCCATTGTGTTTCCTCGTTTAGGTACTAGTACCAATGTAGCATGCTGCCAAATGTGCAAGTGGTCACAACTTGCACTGCTAGCTTTAGATCATGATCAAGATGTTTTGGAAACTGCACTGATCAGTGATGTTACCCACGAGCAAGTGCCACTCATCACTAGCACTTGCTCTTCAGCAAGTGCCACTCATCGGTATTTGATCCCAATGAACTGTTACTAACCCATGTCATGTTACCTAATAAGGTGATGAAGACTGAGTGGGATAGGGCCGGTCGAGGAGCCCAGGTCGTGGTTGGCGCCGAGGGCGCCGTGGACTTCATCCCCACGAACTGCTGGCTCAAGAGGGTGGATCTGCCTGGCAGGGTCGCTTTCATGAGCCAGCCGCGTTCAAGGGGACGATCTCCGAGGAGGGGCCCCAGAGCCGCTGCGTTTCTACGTCCAGATCAAGGACAAGGAGGATCTCACCATGGTCGTCATCCCGCCCAAGTTCAAGGAGGCTATGAAGCAGTGGTCGATGATCAAGCCCCCGCGCGTCGTCAGGTTGTCGACCAACAAGTGGTGCGAGTTCTGAGTTCAGGTCCAGAGTTCGAGGGCCAGATGGTGCTTGGCCGGGGCTGCCAGTACTTCTGCCTCCGCCACAAGATCGTCCCCAGCGACCTCGTCGTCATGCGGATCTCCGGCTTGGGCCTCTTAATATATTGTTTACCTTCATGTGCATTGTTTGTTGTCATTGTTTACCTCTTAATCTGCTATCAATTGTGTCCGCTGTTGTGCTGCTACTGTGGTGGTAAGGCCATCACATTTAAATGGTGTGAGAAGAATACAAACGTGTATGCAGCCAAATAGTTATGGTGTGTATCTGCACACCCCTTAAGCACATATGCAAGCAGCCCGACAGACGGCCCTAAAGTGCTCATTGATGCAATGCAGGAAACCAAACATGTAAATGTTGATTTGTCATCTGCTTTTTGTCGACCAGACTGGGTTGAGATGGATATGAAGTGCAGTCAGTGTTGAAGAAGACTCCAGCGTTGATGTGTGGTCCACATCCCGATAAACGTATCGAGTAGGCCCTTGTGTTGTGTCTCCGGCGGCGGCATGGTGAGACGAGACCGTGGGCCGACTGAATTCGAAGCCCCTGGTACCGGCAGATAACTCGGAAAGAAGAGAGGAAAATTCACGGCTCCCTTCGTATAACGCGTGGCCGCCCACCTGGGATGCTTCGTGCACGTTCATCCGTGGTACTCCATACGTTACTTGCACAGGGGACGTGTCCGGGACGCGCCGGGCGAGGTCGCCGCGGTTACGCACGCAAAGCCAACACCGTCCCCGTCCCGCCGAGGGAGATATGCATTCCCTGCGCGTCGTCGAGTCATCAAAGCAAAGGCACGCACACGCTTGTCCCGTTCCCTCGTCTCATAAAAACTGGTGCGGCCCGCTGCCAGCCTTCATTCACCGTTCGAAAAGTTGAGAGAGCTTCCCCCAAAAGGACCAGGCCAGACGACCCCGCCGCGATTATTCCCCGCACCCACCCAATTCCCCGAGCACCGCCGCCGCGCGATCGCCCCACCATGTCCGGCTACCCCTACGGTGGCGCCGGAGGAGGAGGAGGCGGCGGCTACGGGGCCCCTCCGCCCTACGGCTCCTCCCCCGCCCCCTCGGCCCCGCCCTACGGCGATAAGCCCCCCAAGGAAGGCAAGGCCTCCTCCCCCTACTACGCCTCCCCGCCCCAGACCTACGGCGCCAGCGGCGGCTACGGGGCCCCGCCCTCCTCCCAGCCCCAGTCCTACGGTGGCGGATACGGGGCCCCGCCCTCCTCCCAGCCCCAGTCCTACGGCGGCGGCGGCTACGGGGCCCCGCCCGCCGGCCAGCCCCAGTCCTACGGCGGCGGCGGAGGCTACGGTGCTCCGCCCGCGGGCCAGTCCTACGGCGCCCCGCCTCCCTCGTCGGCGCCCTACGGGGCCCCGCCCCCCGCGGCAGCGCCGTATGGGGCCGCTGGCGGGTACGGGAGCCCGTTCGCGGCGCTCGTGCCGTCGGCGTTCCCGCCGGGGACGGACCCCAACGTCGTGGCGTGCTTCCAGGCCGCCGACCGCGACGGCAGCGGGACCATCGACGACAAGGAGCTGCAGTCCGCGCTCTCCGGCTACAACCAGAGCTTCAGCCTCCGCACCGTCCACCTTCTCATGTACCTCTTCACCAACACCAACGTCCGCAGGATCGGTAATAACACTCCCCTTACGCGCATCCTTCTTCCTTCCTAGCACCCCTCCGCTTTTCCGTGTAGCTGCGATCTTGCAGCAATTATTGTTTTTTCCTGTGGAGAGAGGTTTCAGTACAACAGTGCACAACTTGGGCTCGTCTGGTATTTCAGTCTGTGGGCATGTGCCCTGCGGTTTGATACAGATTGATCAAATAATGAGGCTCCTTCTGGGAAATCAATGATTGAGTTTCTTATAAGGAAAACCACAATCATTTCCTTCCCTTAAGAAAAAGAGAGCTGCATTTCCTAATACAAGTTCCTGTGAAATGTGAATTCTCTGCATCCTAGTATTTGAGACAGTAAATTCTCTACATCCAGTTTAACCTTGTTTATTATGGGAATGTTATTTAATGGTGTTATAAGGGCACAACACTACACTCTAGGCAACAAGCTATCATGTGGCATCAAAAGACTGGTCTTGTATGCAAGATAGACTGAGCACCTCTGGCTCAGATATTGAATATGATGTTCTTATTGTAACACTGACAAGTTTGTGGTCACTGGTTATGCCTTTACCCAAACACTGAACCTATACATATATTCATAATAGTTTATAGACTACTTGATTTGAAAATATTTTATCCGTGGCCATGGTGTTTAGACTTCACCAGCATGCATATGAAGAATAAAATACTATTCAGAATCATTACCAGATGATACTTATATCTGATGACACTTGAAATAGTACGAGCTATTGCATATTATGCTTCCGCCTTTCGGTAGGAAAAAAGATGGATGGTGATTAAAAAAAGGAGCGGTAGGAATCCCTGACAAAAATATATATTATGTATAATATCTCAGTGAAAGTTTAATTTATCTTGGGATGCCTTTCAAGTTAGACCTGTGCAAAGGTTGTCCTACCCGTCAAGCTTTTTTTTTTCTTCCTGTTTGCGATGATGCTATGGTGTGTCAGCAAAAGAATGGATGGTGATTAAAAAAAGGACCGGTAGGAATACCTGACAAAACTATATATTATGTATAACATCTCATTGAAAGTTTAATTTATCTTGGGATGCCTTTCAAATTAGACCTGTTGCAAAGGTTGTCCTACCCGTCAAGTTTTTTTTTTCCTGTCTGCAATGAAACTATGGTGTGTCGGCGATTTATTTGCAGGATTGATTCACTTGGTATTTAAGTCAACTGGGGTTTAGGAGTGACCTAACTCGGGCACGGTCTGATGCGCTTCCTTTTATGCTTGAATTTGGTAGTAAGTTTGTTTAGATTCCTGTTGAGTTAAAAAAACCTTACCTCGTATTTTTTCTTTCATTCTTTGGGTGTTTTCCTTCTCTGTGTGGAGCTTCAGCAATTAGTTCCAGACTACTTGATTGATCTGAACTCTAAAATCAGTGCCATCTTTCACATACTGGTAGTAGAGTTGATCTGAATAATTTTTTTTGGTGAAATTTCGAAATTCAGCATTTCCCTTAATATCTATTTCAGCTTTTTTCGTTGACCTCTTAATTTGTGCCTTTGATTCTTCCAGGGCCCAAGGAGTTTACTTCTGTTTTTTACAGTCTTCAGAACTGGAGGGTGAGTGGCTATGGCTTCAAGTTTCCTTTACTTTTTTGTGGGGACTAATCAGCTGATCTAATGAAATACTTACTAACCATGCATGTCCATTTCCTATTGTTTTTGTGCAGTCTATATTTGAGAGGTTTGACCGTGACCGAAGTGGTAAAATTGATGCATCGGAGCTGCGCGATGCTCTTCTCAGTCTGGGTTATTCAGTTTCTCCAACTGTGCTAGACTTGCTCGTGTCTAAATTCGACAAGACTGGAGGCATGAGCAAAGCAGTTGAATATGACAACTTTATTGAGTAAGATTACTCCTTCAATTTAATTTGGCTAATTATTCCAACTAAACAGTTCAAGCTTTGATATCCAATCTGTTAAAATCTTGTTAGATTTAAGTTTCTATGTTAAAAAAATGTGTTTTTTCTCATTATTTTCTTGTTTGAGATTGAAATTGGTGAAGCACTCCTGTTCAAAGCTCAGTATAGTCTGATGTTGTTCAGGAACTTTAGCTTTATTTGTTAATATGATGATGTTCATGTTCTGTTAGCTCAACCTGATAATGTCTAGGGACTTCAACTTGGTGCAGTCATTAGTCAATTGTCTGTGACTTGCTGGTACTTCTATTATCTCATGAACTCAAATTGTTGAGTCGGCTTCTTCCGTTTTGTGAATTAAAGATGTGCCCAACTGTTCTGAAGTTTCAGAAATGAAAAAAATGGCTGCCAATCTATTGGACTCCTTATTTTCTGCTTGGTTTTGTGAAATACAGTTCGATAAGTTGGATCCTTCAGTTTGGTTTATAACATTCCTAATTCTTTCTTTGTTTTGTCTATATGCAGGTGTTGCCTTACGGTCAAGGTATTTCCCATCATCATTATACTACACAAACAAACACATTAACGTTCTGTAGTTCACGGCGCTAATTGGTTTCATACGTCTGTAGGGTCTGACTGAGAAGTTCAAGGAGAAGGACACGTCTTACTCCGGGTCTGCAACTTTCAGTTACGAGGCATTCATGTTGACTGTGCTCCCTTTCATCATCGCTTGATGGCTCCACAGTTCAATACAAAGACTGAGCTTTGAGTGTGTTGTTCCAACTTATGTTGAAATGTTTTTCCAACGGAGGTGTAGTTTGTTTGGATTCGAGTGATGTTGCTGCGTTCCTGATAAGGTGATACCCTGGAGATTGGAAACTGGTGTATGATGGTAGAGCCTGTGGACGGTCAGTGAGATTGGGTTTTGATCATATTTTATTTCCCTTTGATGAGGCGGCTTAGTTCAAAATTTGTTTACATCAATCAAACCTAAATTAACCCGACTGGGAATTGTTTTATTATTTTTGCTAGCATATCACTGCTAAAATCGTAGACAAAAAAAAGTCTTTACACTGCATTCAAATGCAAATAAATCCAAATCCAGCAATAGGATTCTCAAGCCGGAGTTGACTTCCCAAACAAATGCAGCACCAAAAAGCAATCCTGCAGCGCACACTTGCACTACAAATGAATTCAAGAAAATTAGCGGCTGGCGATGCAACAGAACCAAAATAGCAAATGCAGCCTGGATCCATCCTGAAATCACCCTTCTCCAGCTATATGTCATCAGGGCCGTTGGCGAGTGGCTTGTAACCATTTGGACTTCCAGAGATTTCACCTGACTTAACAGGAATGCACTTCAAGATAGCTCCAATAATCAAGCTGATGGATCCTAGACCCACGCTCACCAACCAGAATTGCCAGCTGAGTGGAACAGTACTTGCAAAAGTGCCGAGAAACTCGATGATCACCACCTGGAATACCACCGTCGCGCTTATTACCCCGAGGAAGACCCAATTGCCGATGAGACCGCGGAAAATGTTGATCTTCTCCATTTCCCTGCTGTTCACTTCGTTGAATACCTGGTGCAACGTCGTCGAAAGTACATTGTCATTAGTTCGCCAGTTGGAACAATCATGTAACTGACTAGTAGAAGGTGTCTCACAATGCATCACTCACCTGGCAAAACACGAAGGAGTTGAAGATGAGCGTGTTGAGAACAGTCTTGGAATCTGGACCCTTGATGTTCAGAAGATTTTCCCCGGCGAACATGAGAACGCCAAGCACAACCAGCTGGTATATACTTTGCCCAATGATGTTTCTCCACATGACCTTGGTGATGAAGCTTTCCCCTCGTCCAGTAGGCGGCCTCTTCATCATTTCATCATTTGGAGGCTCAGTTGCCAGAGCTAAAGCCCCTAATGTGTCCATAATCATGTTCACCCACAGCAGCTGCACAGCAGTGAGAGGAGCACTCCCTGCGATGTAAGAATGTAAACATGAATACCAGGAGCCATTCGATGGCGAAATACCTAGCTGTCAAATGAATACATCAATAATGTTTGGCACACCTGTGATGCACGCTGAGACAAAGTTGATCACCAAAGCAACAATGTTCACAGTCAACTGAAACTGCACGAACTTCTGGATGTTTATGTAAACCGCACGACCCCACCTTGCAACGTTTATTATAGTTGTGAAGTTGTCATCAAGCACTATGACATCGGCACTCTCCTTAGCAACCTGCGCAAATCAAAGATAGTATGGAGAAATGAAATAATGATGGATTTGTTAGACGTTTATTTCTGTCGGGAGACAGCAAAAGATTACTCCAACCACAGACGAAAGAGAATTATAGGTTAGGTAAATAAATAGGTTGTCATAGCCAACAGCCATTCTGTTATCTTACTTATGTCAGAATCAATATCAAAATATATTCAGCTTAAGCATCTAACTTTGCAATTTTCTACTGATGCTACAATAGGGTCAAAACTGCATAAGAAAATAGTACCTCTGTGCCTGCAATGCCCATAGCAAGCCCAATGTCTGCCTCGTGTAATGCAGGAGCATCATTTGTACCATCACCTGTCACAGCAACCACCTCTTGGAACATGCCTCTCAAGTTTGTCACAAGCAAATGTTTGTCCAATGGTAAAGAACGGGCCATGACCTGCCAAAGGTTGATAAAATGTTACTATTTCAAGGTTTTTAGTGCACTTAATAGAACAAGAAAGACGAAACAAACCTGAATCTTAGGTATCAAGTCCCTCATTTCTTCTGGGCTTTTGTTACGAAAATCTGGTCCTTCTATTGCTATGCCATCATCAGTCAATATGCCACATTCTTTGGCAATAGCTTTAGCTGTATTGATATTATCACCAGTCACCATTCTCACAATGATGCCAGCAGTTATGCAGCTCTGGACAGCTTCCTTCACTCCAGGGCGCACAGGGTCCTTAATGCCAAATATGATTATCAGAGTAAAACCATTAGGAGGGCTATCTGCATTCTCATCAAATTCATCCACATCCTTAAATGCTAAGCACAATGTCCTTAAAGCATCTGAAGCAAATGAGTTGATAGTATCCGTGATGTTCTTTCTCCGATCGTCTGATAAGGGGATAACATCTCCATCTTGATCAATCACTTTGTCACACATCTCAACAATAATTTCTGATGCACCTTTGCAGAACCAACGGTGTCCCCCACCAGGTAAAGAAACCAATACTGCCATCTTCTTCTTGACCGAATTGAAAGGCTCAACCTTAACCTTGGTGCAGCTCCTATCCTCAGCATCACGATATCCTTGCAAGCTCAAGCCATATTCAAATATCGCTATTTCTGTTGGAGTACCCAAAACAGTTTGTTTATCATCATTTCCCTTGACAACCTCTGCACTAGTGTTCTCAAAAATGCCCTGCAAAAGTAGGCTCCATGCGCTTGAAGAAATGGCAGAATTCAGTTCTTCCGAACTATTATTACTTGTAACCGACTTTGAAACCTCGGCTATCCAGATCTTGTCAACCACCATATGGTTAGTAGTCAAAGTTCCTGTCTTATCTGTGCAAATGGTACCAGCAGATCCCATTGTTTCACATGCTGCAAGGTGTCTAACAAGAGCTTTGTCATTCATTAGCTTCTTCATTGCAAACGCAAGGCTCAAAGTAACAGCCAACGGCAACCCTTCGGGAACAGCAACAACAATAATAGTGACCGCTGTTGCAAAGTAGTTCACTATAGTCAAGGCATCAGTTGAATACCAGTTGGACAAACCAACTGTCAAACCTTTGTCAATAAGGAATCTAGTCATCAGGACTACAAATGTTAATGTGGCAAATACCAGGCCAATCTTTCCTATGATGGTCGCAACTCCATTTAGCTTAACCTGCAATGGTGTCTCGTCCTCTCCTCCCTCACTCAAAGTGCTCATCAGCCTTCCCCATTCAGTGCGCATACCGACAGCTGTTACTATCATCTTAGCAGAACCATCTTGCACTTTAGTTCCTGCCAATATGAATGGTTTATCTTGAGAAGTATACACTGGCTCACTCTCCCCTGATAAGCTGGATTCATCAATCAGAAGGGAGTATCCATGTATAAACAGTCCATCAGCAGGCACTTGGTCCCCAATTGATAAATGCACAATATCACCAACTACCAAGTCAAATATCGAGATCTTCTGTCGACCGCCATCTCTGGTTACATGGATAAATATGTTTTTCTTTTCATTATCTAGCTCCTTAAACTGGAGCGATTGCTTATAGTCACTGGCAGCAGTAACCATCACAACTAAGAGAATGCTGAGTATTATCCCCAAGCCATCATACATGCCCTTGGGCCAACCTTCAGATGCCAGGCCAACTACAACAGATAACAAAGCACATACCATCAGAATGATAAGAGTCGTGTCCTGCAATGCATCCCAAACAAACATCCAGAAACTTCTTGAAGGCTTTTCAGCGTAGCGATTGACACCATATATGCTTTGTCTTGTATCCAAGTCAGTAGCACATACACCACGGTCGAATGTTGTACGAACTTTTTTGGATATCCCATCTACCCCACCATGCATCTTTAAAGCTTTCAAGTCATGCTTGCTTGTTATTGATGCCAGTTCTTCGGGATTGATGGAAAACCCAGCTTTGATTATATCATCTGTTAGCTGGTACTCATTCTTCTTGGCGCCTTGAGCATAGAAAGGTACACAAGTCAAATAGAGTTACTGGTGCAACACAAGGAACGATAACACAAAAGGTTATCAGGTAGATTTATACCACCAATGAAAGTGATTGCAGCCTGCTGCACATAGAGGGCAACCCGAATTTTTTCCTGGAAAAGAGAACACGAACAAGGCAAACGTTTTTACATACAAAAGTTAGGTTATTTTCTTGCAATGGCAAGATACAATCACAAAGTGTAGAAGAAAGCAGATAAACTGATTGACTGAATGTGAGCCTGCAATTTTCCTGTCAACATTGTGAAAAAAGGGTTAAGTTCACCTGTTAAACATAAAGGAGTTACATCCACATCAAGACTGGAGTATTTGCCGAGACAAATAATCGTGAAGCATCTGGGTTTGAAAAAGAATGCCAAGCATCTCGAAGGAGAATTCAGTAATAGACAACCGAAGTAGTTGGCAGGCTGATTGGCATAAGAAATGAACATCTTTCAAGACTTGATGGTCTCTAAGAAAAAGTAGCCGCCAAAAGATTCTGTAATTTCTGCCTAAATTATTCTCCATCTCTGGGAAGTGGAAACTAAGCCGCCTATTGACTAGAAAGATTCCCAACTTTGTAGTTACATGGTTTAGAATGCATGTGCCTATTGTCAAAAGGCAGTCCAGATCCAGTATAGGAGTGCACGACACATAGGCCCTCCACCTTTACGATTGCACTTGTTTAAATTATATCAATCAACCATCGTTGCATTCAAATGTCTTAATCAACTATCCTACGTAGCTAATTTCAAATAGTGCATGATAATGTGGTCTAAACATTTTAGAGGGTCTTTGTTTTTTACGTTGGTTTTGTTCTGTCTTGGCCTAATACATGGTTCCATGGAGTCATTTCTCTTGTCATGCTTCCCTCTTGAATATTTTTATTCGTTGGCCATCCAAGTATGCTACTCCCTCAGTCCCATATTAACTGTCGCTCAAACGGATGTATCTAACACTGATTTTTTTTTACAGTTTAACTGCATGGGGTTGATTATGGACCGATGTATGAACTAGACA